TCAGCTTTGTAACAGTGGCTCATTTGCAAAATTGAAATAGGATTTCCTGAAAACAGCAGAAGAAGGGTGTGTGTGTGTGTGAGAGAGAGAGAGGGGGGGGGGTTCATTCTCGGTTTGCATTTGAAATTCAGTATTTTTAGCACAAAGCCACAGACCATTTGATTAACGTTTGGTTAATGCAGGACTAGGGGTGGTTTGAGGCCAAAAGGTGACAACATGCAAGGTGTAGACCAGTTTTTGCCATATGGCTTGTCACATCTTAGAGCTTAATTTAGCCATCTGCTCCTTAATGTTTACTATACAAACAAATTTTTGCCCTCTGGGGTTTTAGTACACTTTTTCATGTTTTACTTCCACAGGGTGTCAACATATTGCAAGCACTATTCTATCATCTGCTTGAATAATGCCATCAAGAAATTATAACTGTGAAAGTAGTTCTATGTGGGAAAGTCAAGCAGTATCATTGTCTTAACAGATACAGCTTTATTAATATAAGTACCTCACAGCTTTAATCCTTTTTACCTGTCTTTATGCTTAGCCTTTGGCTACAGTAAAAGATTCTCATCTTCTGGTAGCCCTGTTTAGAGAGAAATTTATCTCTCTTTCTGACAAATGCAGCAGAAAAACTTCCACCTGGTTTGTCTTGCTCTAATTGAAACGTGCCACATCCACATCACTACAGGGAATGATAATCGTCTTCTTGACAGCAGGAAAATACCTTTCCTGTTCAGCTGTCACTGAATGTGGGTAAGATACTAAACTTGCACAAAATAGATTTGTAAGCGGAAAAACGAAAACAAAAAATAAAAGAAGTGGAAGAACAAAGTGTTTAACAGAGGTCCATGCGTGAAGGACACAATCAACCTCTTTCTTGTGATTATTTCTTTCTACTTTGTTACAATATCTAGAATGTTTATCTTATGGATAGGAGAGCTGCAGTCCCTTGCCTAACAGAGATACTTTCTGCGATAACTTCAAAAGGCAACTTTAAGGCTGAAGATGGCTCCTCAGAATAGCAGGGCCAAAACGTTTTGGGCTCTGATGAAAAGAAATATGTATTTTCCAGCTCCTTAAGACATGTCCTTTCTCTGTATCTCTGTGGCAGATGCTTTCTAGTTTGTCTGCTCCCTCTCAAGCCAGTGAGCTTCAGCTTTCTACTTTCATGAAAACTTTTCCACATCGTGTTGTGTACCAAAGAATGCCAGTGCATTGCAGAGGGTTCTGGGATATGTAACAAAATTTACATATTTCACCAGAGGCACTGTTGGATCTCACTGTTACTTTGAGCAAGCTGCACAATCTGCTGCAGTGATGCATTTTAGGGGATTATGGTCGCTGCCGGGTTTTCTTTAAGAGGCGTTACTAATGCATTTTTAATCCCAGACGATTATTCAGATCCCAGACTGCATGAGTTGTTCCCACAGCAAGCATCTTCATGCCATACACCTATTTATGGCGTTCCTACCTGGATAGAACAACTTGATTCTAGTGGGAGTGATGAGGGGGATGGTTGGGCAGGAAGCTGCAGCAGGCCTCCTTGTTTCTGTCCCTCCTTAATAGTAATAATCTTGCACTATCTCATGCCATTTTATCACCAGGTAATCTCTACTTGGAAGCTATGGAAGCATTAGATTTGGCCAGGGATCCAGGAACAAAAAGGATATCAGTAGAATTTGGCTTCTCTGTGGCTCTGACTTGATTTATCAGCTGTATCTGCAGGTGCTTGCTGTGCAACCCCTTTGGATACACTCTTTTCCTGGGACATCAGCAGAACCTTGGGAATCAGAACAGTAATGGTGCCGGTGGATGGGGAAGGTTGCATTGTCTTCTGTGAGGAATCAATGCAGGTGACCTGTTCTAACTTGCCACCTTTCTCTGGAATGCTGGTACACAGGATTTGGGAGAGTCCCCAACTTTGTTTATAATTTCTTTCAGGGGTTTTTTGTAGAGTTGTCTGATTTAAATTTGACTCTTCAGACCTATATTAGAGCCGTGAGACAGAGACATCGATCAACCTATGGATTGATCAAAAGATAGACAGATAGATCAGTGCCTTCTATATATCTATATCGACATCTATCTAAAGATAAAAATGCCAGGTTTCTACTGGGGCAGTCTCATTTTTCCTGATGGAGCCATTAGCAGCAATTCCAGACTAGACAGGAAGAAACCCACTGCTTATTTAAGGCAGAGAGGGAGAGAGAAGTCGCACCTGCTATCTGGCTTGGCAGCTGTTGAGACAAAGATTTACGTGAGCGGCCCTCATCATGATCAGGCCATTGCTGTGGGCTATAAATTAGGAATAAATTGTGACCCAGTGATGTTGGCGCCCACCGGTGCTGTTCATGACTTCCATGCTGATGTAGTCCGGATTGTAGTCCTGCTGGCACTAGGTATATGCACCAGAGTGGCCAATCCTAGTTTTGTCCTTCGCATGTTAATTGAGTGCGGGAGCTTCCCATGTAGGAAGCCCAGCCTCACAGCATCGTATGCTGAGCATGGGCAGTTGCATGCATAAAGCCTGCACGTGGCAAGATGATTGTGGGAGAGAAGAAGGCATGCGAGAGAAGAAGGCATGCGAGGCATTGAAGAACAGGGTAGTCACCTCTTCCCCAACTCAAGCTTCAGCATCAGAGGGCTGGGCGGCGGGGTGGGCTGGAGAGGTGATGCAGATTGCTGTGTTTGTGATGAGGAGAAAGCCTGTCTCTACACGACTTCTTGCTCTGCAGGTGTGTGTGTGTGTGTGTGTGTTGTGGATCCACACATTTTTTCCAGGAAGGACAGGATCCCCTCCCCAGCACAGAAAGGCTGTGCACACCTGCTGCATGCCTGCAGGATTCTTATGATGCTTTGCCTGTCTGTTGAGGTGAACGGCTTCTGCGCATTGCCATCTGTTGGAGGGTCAGGGTGAGGGTCTAGGGACCGAGTAAGGGTGTTGCCGAACCTGGCTGCGGGGGAAAGAAGCTTTTTGAGACAAGGGTTTTGAAATGTTAATATTGGGGATGTGTATAAAATTCACCGAATTAAGTGACGCATTTGTTAGTATTCAAATTGTGTGCTGTGTAACTGAATGCAGATCTGAATTCTTGCATGTCTCTATAAAACCCCCATGTGTAGCAAGTGAACCATACGTCATTAAAGAGCATAGTCTCCCTCTCCTCAAAATCCAGTCCTGGTAGTTCTCAGTTCCCATCACACTGCAGCTGCATAGCTATACAGCAAGGCAGCGTGTTGAGTCGCCATTGCTAAGCAAGAAAGGTGCGGGCCTACTGCTGGAGGGGTGACCCCATCTGGAAGTGGAGCAGGGGGCTGGACTCAATGGCCGTATAGGCCCCTTCCAACTCTACTCCTATTTTGTTCTATTTATAAGTCTTTGAAGGATGATGTTGGCATGAGATGCTGCAGGATGCACTTGACAAGCACTGGGATGGAACAGGAGCTAAAGCTGGGACTAGAACAGGACTGTGCTGAGAGGCACCCGGGGAGACAGAAACGGCCCAGTGTTGTGCTGAAAAGAAGCCTATGGATTTCTGGAGCAGAGTGAACAATTGCTGAAAACGGGTTTCTTCTCAGCTGTGTTGGCCAGAGATTTTATTGGTGCCAGGACATAGTCAAGTCTAGCAGAAATGGGTTTTCCCTCAACAGAAGACGTTCACTACTGGCTTTTCTACCAGCCTTCCTTCCCTACCGTAGCCCCATTAGAAGTTTTTGACGTCTTCAGTGCTTTGACGCTAGACTTTTTGTGGGTAGGACTCCATGTATGAGGTTCTTCTACTGGGTGTAGCTCACTGCCTGAAAACTGGAGGACCTTCTTGAACAATGTGGGAGGTGGAGTGAGAAGCTGTAGGAGAAACCGGGAAATTGGTGAACATACCTCTGTCTTCCTTCTTCTGGGAGGATCATCATCTGGACCTCAGTCTCCTCCTCAAAAGCATTGGATACGACCCAGTATTTCTGTGTTTGCCTGTATTATCTCTCAAAGAGAGGTTTAATATAGTCACCCACAGAGGATTTAAGTGTTAAGAAATCCCAGCATTTGGGTGTCTACACAGTCCACAACAACATGGCTGACAAATCACAGTTTTGCCGTGCTTAAAGCGAGATGGGTTCTGATGAAAATACGGAATAATTGGTGGTAGTAATTTGATTTATGTTTTTGATACAAATTGAGGGGACAAATTATGGTCCCCCCTTCCTCTTCTAACCTGGGGTGAAGTGAATCTATTTGAAAGAAGAGGGTTTTTTTTTTAAATGAGATTTTATTTTTTTTAACTGGCGTCACTGAAAACTATTCTTTGCATTTGCGTTGACTGGATTGTGCATCAGCAGCAGATGGTTGGGTCAGATGCTATGACTAACTAGGTACCTCGTTGTGTTTTCCTTCTTGTACTTTAACGAAGGATTCATTTATTGTTTTAAGCACCTTGTTTCTGTTAGGTGATTTCTTTTGCTTGCAAGGCAAATGGCCCCTAAATTCCTAAAATGTGCAGAGGGGCATGACTCTGACACCCCTAGACATTGAGTGACTGCAAGATGGTCTGAAACCAGAGATGGCACCTTGACCTTGGCACTCCGGCCACTTCCTCCTTGGAGCCAGCTAGGATGGAACCAGCTGTCCCCAAGGTCAGGAAAGCAACCTTAGAGAGATGTTAAGGAGGGCATTTCAGGAGACAAGGCTGGGAGGAGACTGGAGTGGCGCAAATATGCCTTGCCCTGCAGCCGCTCCGGCCTCCTTCATGCCCCTCTGAGAAGTCCCAGCTCTTGTATCGCCACCCCGAGACACTGTAAACAGTGGGATGCGACTATTTTAAATAAATAAAAGCAATCAAGCACAGCAGGAAGAGCAACGATGCCCTTCTGGGGCCCTCTCTCTCTGTGCTGGATACCTGTAAGCTCCAGATTTGGGGGCTTGCAACAGAATTGCGCCCTCCCTAGGGTCGTGCGTCCTTGCGGGTGTGTGTTCTCCTTTCCCTAACGCTGCTTTCTTGGCTCTTTTGCAGCTGGATCCCGGGCTTCCTATAGCAGCCAACATAGCCACCTGGGCTCTGAGTTAAGGGCACTGCAGTCTCCGGAGCACCATATAGATCCTATTTACGAAGACAGAGTTTATCAGAAGCCCCCTATGAGGAGTCTCAGCCAGAGCCAGGGGGACCCTCTTCAACCAGCACATACAGGCACCTACCGCACTAGCACAGGTAGGTGGAAATAACCCAGGCTTCTCTCCCTCCCCCTCCCCCTCCCCCTCCCCCCAGCTTAGGTAGGTATATTGATTGAAAGCACAAACTGCTGTATTTTACTGGTTTATCAGAAGCACGATAACTGAAAGCCGTGCGAGCTGTTAATGCAACAAAGCATTCCAGCATCTTTTATTCCCCCCACCCCTTTCTTAGGCTCTTTTTTCTCCTTTGAACCAACCCTGTTATTGGATGGCTCTCAGAAACAGCCCTGACTCCTTTGCTTTGTTCAGTGGCTAAGGATGTGTATAATTGCAAGGGGGCGGAGACTTTCTCTCATTTGCAACCAGTTGGCTTGATAATTTTGTGGGGTGGAAGGCGGTGGACTCAGACAGAAGTGGAACATACATTCCTTTTCCTCCATTTCACATGTATGGACACATGTCCACTCGCTCGCTCACTCGCCCGTCCATTCTGTCACCCCACGTAAAGTAGCGATCAAAGTGGCAACATTTCAGTCCGTCTTTCAGTACCATTGGCTCATCTGTAGAGTAACAGTTGCATGCTCATTCATCAGATACGTTAGCGTGCAAGTCTTCATTGTGCAATGTCATCTGAACCGTGCGAAACAGAATTATACTTGGCGAAATGGGAACAACAACCAACTCGGCAGTGCCAGTTAATATCGGAAGGGGCCTGCAGCCAGCACACTCCGAACCAAAATAGCTTCCACACAGACATGTAGAAACTAACTTTAGGAATTATTGTGGCATTAGTCATACTTTGGAGATGTTTTCTTGGCATTCCTGATCTTGTACAAAGGAGGAGTTTGAATTTTCCCAAATCAAAAGGGACACTTTGCTTTAACAGAAGGCCTGTTTTGATTCTGCTTCCGCCTCTCTGTATTCACATTTCTAAGCATGGAATTTCTTATTTTCTTTTTAATATTTTGATAATTAATTTTGTGTTCTGTGTGAATCCAGCATTGTTAGGCCCATCCAAACATGAAGAATCCAGCAGTTTAATTTGATTTATAAATAACTTCATTGCCTAATACGAAACAAGAGAGTCAATAAAGAACCACTTAGGAGCTAGTAGTAATGACTATCAGTGGAGCATTGAAAATACAAGGCTTGGAAAGGAGTTCTCCTTATATACATGACAAGGAGATATGTTACAGCAATAATTAGATTGTAAAACGGATAAGGAGTTAGCAAAAGAAGTAAGGATGACCTCGTATTTGCAGTGGTAACCTTGAGTCAATGAAATTGGATTTATATTTGTACATTTCTTATGTCTGGTATGATTAAGTATGTGTGGAACCATCTAAAAAGAAGGATACTAGAGAGAGGAAAAATGGTTGGCAAATGTAAGGCAACATTGCATCAATTTTTCAGTTGAAGGTTAATGTGGTTTTGGGGAGGGGGGCGTCACAGCAGAACAGGGTGTTGCATGGCATTTCCCAGCTCGGTGGTGAAAATCCTTGATGCAGAATTTACTAGCCACCTTCTCTCTTCTGGGCAAACTATAAGCAAAAAATTAAACTGCACTGACCTTCCTGCAGACATGCTGCCTTCGGGGGGAAAGGTAGAACTCTCGTAGACTTGTGACTTATCATCACTTATTTATTTTTACTAAGCTGTCCCAACCAACGCTGTAAATAAGCCATAGCTATGAAGATACATTGCTCTGCATCATGTCGTGTCTTCTAATGGCAACAAAGCAATTAAAAAGAAAAGATGCACACTTCCGGGCATGGTACTCTCCGAGAGCTCATGCTATGATGATTCCTTCTCAAATATGTCTCCTTGGTCCTGCCACACTGGCATAAATTACCCACAGCCTGGGCATACTGAGCCAAACCTTGTAGCAGCCTCCATGGAACGAAGCAGGAAAAGCCTTATTTTTACGAGGACGGTCACTTTGGGTGCTCCATGTTCCTAAGCCTCCCAGTGCTGTTTTTTTAGTCTCCTGGCTCTTTCTTCCCTTATCTCTTCTGCAAGCTCCTGGTTCCTTGACTTAGGTATGTGGTCAGAATTTTCTCCCAGTTCTGGCTTTCTGCGTATGGTTCCCTGCTCTTACTGGTGCTCATGAAATTGCTTTCGCTCTGGTGAGCCCTGGAACTCCTTCCCCGTCTCAAAAGTTGCAGTCAAAATGCAGCCTACGCCTCTCCTCTGGTGTCCCACCACTACAGAACCTCATGTTTTTCGAATAAATCACTTCATCCTCTTCCCTTCCTAAATTAAGGTTACATCCTGCTGTTAATAGATTTTGAGGCAGCATTTTACAATTGCAATTGATTCTTGGAAAGTGAATCACTGATGGTTCACTTGCTTCTTCTTTCCTATTAAATCCTACTCTCGTTTCCTGCTTCCACCTCAGTATTGCTGAAATCATGAATTAGTATTTTCTGGATCATCTTTCCTGTTGATTCCTGAATAATTCAAACATTCAGAAACGTATGACTTAGTGCCATTATTAAGTTTGAGTACCGTTCATTGAAGAACTGAGAATTTAGTTTGCGGAATTAACGGGGGCCTGATTTGTCATGCTTGAATAGCTGAAAAAAGACCGGTGGCTGCTTTTAATCTTTAATAAAAGTAAGCTCACTTGGGTTCAAAATGAGTATGGACATTGAATAGTTTAGACTCTGTCAAAGTCATTATCTGCTTCAGCAAATCACCTGATTTGCAGATAGGAAACGATCTTTAGATTATAATATGCTATGATTATTTTTACATTGCTGAATAATATATAACATTATATATTTCAGCGTAATGTCACAGATGAAAGACTCCAAAACACTGCAGACCAACACTTCTGAAACCACTTCAATGGGTGGTTATAACAATGGATGCACGAAGATCTGGCCCATTAGCTACTAGTCTTAGATCAGGCTTACCTTCCTTCCTGATTTTCAAAGCATCTGTAGCTCTGTACTGTGTTGAGTGAGTCAAATGGTTAGGGCTTCAAAATGTTGCCCTACCTCATATCAGAAAGTGAGCTCACGCTTGACAACCGGAACGTGTGTTCTCATAGATGATTGAAGGGGTCCCAGACGTTTTGGACCCTGGAAGCATGCAGGAATCCCAGAAACTGCTGAAGGCACCACCACAAGATGGCTCCCACAGAGGAAATGCCCACCCTCTACTGGCTGCTGTGGGTGGCTGACTAGTCAGAGGGGAGCTAAAGGGGGTGGGTGGAAGAAAATATGGCTAGAAGCTGACAGGGAGGGAGAAACAGCAGGGCAAGAGAGAGAGAAATAGGAGTGCTAGAGGCTGCGAAGCAGGGGTAAACAGCAAGGCAAAGGGTAGCAAAAGGACGAGGCTTAATCCTAGGAGGGGCAGAAACAGTGAACAGGAGGTGGGGAATAGCAAAGTCTGTATGGGGTGGGGGCAGAAATAGCGAGAAAGAGTTTGGCCAGAAAGCCTTGGCAAGAAGGCTGCCCTAATATTTTCCAAGGTTTTCCTTTAAAAAAGATCTTGAAAAGGGGGCATTTTGTGGCTCCTTCTGGAAGTCCTCTTGCGTGCTGTGTTGAGACCCCTGGGCTGTTGCCTAACGGTGGAACTGACAACTTTTGGACCTAAGGGCATGTGAGCTACCAAGAGCCTGGGGCTTCTGCAGTCCACCACCATCTCCTCTGATAAGGTCTCAAGGAGGCACTTGGAAGGTTCTTTGTCCTTTATCCCTACAACTGAGCACGGCATTGTATGCTATACTGGAAAAAAAAAATAAGAAGGTATCTTCTTGCAGAAGCCACAGCTTCTAATTCACACTTTTCTTGAGCCTGGATGTAAAGGCAACCTGTCTGTGGTTATTAACAAATGCAAGTGAAGGCCACCGTTCTCCTTGTGGGCGGAGTTGAGGAGAGAGAGGACACAAGGCATAACATGGGCACAGTCTATCCTGAAGGTAATTTGAATCACTTTTTTCGGAATTGCCTTACATTGGCCATTCTGCAGTCTTCTGATCCAGTGGCAGATCCCTGGGACATGTTCCATACTTTTGCTAGAAGACTTTTGCCATTTCACATTGGAGTTTTTCCAGATTTCTAAGAGGACGACCATGTAGGGCCAACAATTCAGTCATTTTTAATTAGTAAGATGAAGCATGAACTGGTTTCTTGCCATTATTTGCCTTAGACCACCTTCCTGAAAACTTCTGTTTAGATCTTCCGCAGTGAATAGGGATGAAAAGAATCCATTCAGCTTTGGTCCCAGTGGTGACGTAAGCTGTCACAAGCACACTCCTATACTCTGGTTGGGTATGGTGTGTCTTTAACTTCTTGAAATTTCCCTCCCCCGCCTCCCTTTCTGTATGTAAATGCTGCCACCAGGAAGTTAATTCCAATCTTTTTAATGAACCTCTCCCTCAAAATTGTGCCTAAGCTATAAGGCTCTTTGTTGGATTATGTAGTCCTGAGGATGAGATGCTGATACTCAAACAGCCTATGACACCGAGGTAACAATCAACAAAATAGAACCTTACCTGTACAGGAGGCACATGGGTTTCAAAATGTTCAGGAAGCGTATTTCCTTAGAGAGTAGAACAATGCATAATAACGACATCTGACTGAGATATCTCACTCTTTCCCTTCACACTCCTCACACGAAGATCCTCTTTCTCTTCCAAAAGGCCGTTGGCCGGCCTTTATTCTATTTATCTCAGTTTAATCTTTCCCTTCTGCACTCGAGTTTCTGTCAGTTTCTCTCTCTCACATTTGGCAATATTAGGTTTTGACTCTCCCTAGTCATTAATATGTCCTCTAAGTATCCTACTTCCTTCCCTTTCCCATCAAATCTTCAGTGCTTTCCATAGCACTGTCTGGGATCCTCATGAGGAGGCTTCCTGTTCACATTCTGCAAACTGACCTCAGAGTGATCTCAACCGACTGCTAACTGCTGTCTGACCGATAACTTTCTGCCTTCTTGCCTTGCGCTTCTGAAACTTCCCAACATTTAAAGGAAAACCCATAACCCTCAAATCATTACATAAGGAAACATGTAATTAAAATCAATGTA